ATTCCCCCTTTTTGATGGGTGAGGTTGGTTAGCTTGGAATTGTATATATTAGGGGTTAGCTGGGAGGTTTGGTTCATGTCATGTGTGCATGGGTATGTTATCTGTGTATGTACATATGTAGGTAGGTAGCTATATAGCCACCGTAGTGTAAGAGGAGACAGTAGTCAGGCGAGGTGAAGTATAAAGATGTAAGAGACTAACGAACATAGATTCTTCTTTCCCATCTGAGGCGGTATGGTAACCTCTTGAGTAATGGACCATTCGGTATAGTTCTCAGGCGAAGAGTCGTTGCTCTCGTTGAGGTGGTTCGGGATCCCGGCGCCGGCGAGTCGAATGCTTAGTTCGGAAGCGAGACTCTTCCAGGACTTGTGGTTTTTAGAACGGCTTGAGAGAAGGAGCTCGATCTCTATACCGAAATTGAAGGATAGGTAGTTGCTAGTCATCATGCTTGATGTTTTGTTTTAAATTTTCGATGATTACTGTAAGTTAAACAGATGGGTAGAATGCACTATATGTTAAGTAGTCCGGGGCGGAATGTGTATTTGCAAGATAAGAAAGATGGACTGTAGTCTTTTAATCATCGCGGCGATGAAAACCAAAGTCTCTATCTCCTTGATCTTATATATCTTATGGAGTTCATAAACCGAGTTCACTTGAGTCATCTTAGCGCTCTAGTTCATACCCATCTCTCAGGGATTATGAAACATAAAGAGTCGACTTTGCCCCGTAAGTCTGTAGCTTTTCAAGATCTCGATCAGTGTGATGGCCCTTTCCTCAAGTCAAACTATGTCTATATGTTTAAGATCAAGCCGATTTGGTTGGCTCTTGACCACGCCCAGGTTTGAAACAACGAGCGTAAGCGCTGCTATGGGACATTTTTGACTAACTAGTTCCTGGGGAAGATGGACTTTCTTGAGCGATTATCTTAAACGGTATCTCCCATCAGATCCCTGGAGAACATGTATTAGATATCCCTTGCCCTTGTCAGACGATATGATATAGGGTTGGCGAGCAGTGAAACAAACACAGGTGATGTGACATAAGTTGGATGGGGTGGCCATGACGGTCGTCACGATGGTCATCACACCGTAGCCTGGAGTTTGAAGCGCTCAAGTCTTATAGATACGGCGAGGAAAATCTGTCCAGTGTCAAGGGTCAGGCGGTTCATGATGACCAGGATATAGGAATTGGGTCTTTATTTGCCTGCCTATCTAATATTAGTAGGAGAGTTGTGGCTGTAGAGGCGCAATACCGAGCATAATGTGATACGTACTTGTCGTATATCAGGCCCAGATAAGACCACGCCTCATAAGTCCAGGATGAGGGGCTAGAATCGGTACAAGCCATAAACATCCATGCCAAGGTAATGGAATAATGTGACACATCAGCAGCCATTATCCAAGGTTCATTGGGGGTCCTTTTTTCGGAAAAGTGTACCACCTAGGTCTATGTTCCATCATCAAGCCTTACAAGCAAGATCACAATATAGCCGAGTGCCTCCCGAACTTGAGGCGCTTCCTAATCGGGATGAACGCCCCTTCCTATTGGCTTTCGGCAGTGGATAGATAGGGTGAGCCTTGCTTGGGGTCCGAAATTTGTAACCCTCACCTAACGAATTTTCGGTGAGTCTGACATGGGCTACTGGCGACTAATAAGCGCCGGGTCGCTCACAGACCCTCATTGTAGCATCTTTCCGTTCCTTAGCGTCATAGCCATCAGCGGCCGTCAAAATACGGATACGGGTAGTTCATGTTGGTGATACATATATGCCAAACAGGTGACATTCGATGGAAGAGTATTGAGTTATCGTTCGATGGAGGAACTCACCCCAGTGTTTATCCAAGCGGCCCGACTAGTCCCAATATTGTTTCCCTTTCTTACGATGACCCACTCTTCGTTTTAGATACGGCCGCGGGAAGCATCGTGACGGATTCTTAGAGTAGCCGAGTGTTTTCTGGCTAGTATTTGGGCCAAGATGATGGTTTATATATTTTTCCTGAATTGTGTATTTCTTAATGGGCATAGGGCTGTAGGATGCCCAAGCGAAGACCAAAGAGTATTAGTCGAGATGAAAAGCTCCCAGAGTTGAGCCCAGCACTTTGATATGTGTAAGTGGTTGATCGGTTGTCAGCAGACCTTTGAGACCCAGACGAAGCGAAGAAGTCTTAAATCTTCGGCAGACAAAAACATGACGTCGACGACCAAGATGAGAGAGTAGACGCTAGACATATGCACATAGAACGAGAATAGAAAATGAAGCGGCCAGGAGTCATTGTAGAAGTCATCGGGGTAGAAGTAAGGGTTTTGTAGGAATCCCAATGAATTTGCAAAAAACGCAGAACATTTCAGCGGCTAAAGGGGCGTAGAGGCTGGTGTGTCCAATCAATCTGAAGTTTATTGTTCAAGTGGTGAAAGACCTTGCATATGTCATTGTCGAGTAACTCGTAATCTTGCGATACGGTTGCTATACCGCCCAAATAAGCCACTATGCGAATAGTCTCGACTATTGATGCTTGCCCTTTTCGACAAAGCACACGTCCGGTCACTGATCAATATTAAACGGGTATTGCCGAGACAGTGTAACGAGTCTCTTATGATTGTTGCTGACGTAAGTCGAAACAAAGGGCGAATCAGGGTATCTTGCTTGACCGCAGTCGGCACTCAGCCAGCTATTAAGTGATTCGCCCAGCATGTGGCCATCAGAATTATCCTCCTTCCTTCGTAGTCTTGAAAACACTAGTCAACAGCATCCGGCTTAGTAACATTGGCGGGATAATTACAGGAAGGCTTGGGGCAGTCCTCGAAGGATACTTGTAGACCCCATCAATTCAACTTTGGATAAGTTGGTCCGCTGGCATTGACAGGCGTGACATTTGACCTTGAAGAAAGCGATCAGGGTGTGAACAAACCTGTCCCCTCAAATTTATTGAGCGCATTGCCTCGAAGCTTCACAGTTGAAGAGAGGTTTATTTCCCGTGAATACCGTAGACGACAGGAATGGGCCGGAATATACTGAATTCTTGACCTGTCGCAACAATGGTACCAGGAATCTGAGGATGCCAATGTACTTCCTTTGCGTATTCTGAATAATGCTCGAAGAGAAGTTGAGGCGGCATATCCTTAACGCCAGCCGTATCTTTGCTTTCCTCGTCGTCCAGTTCGACAGAAAGATCCCACAAAGTGACTTTATGGTCTCCTGCGGCAACAGCCACCATGCTGTCATCTGTGGGATGCCATTCGACACTGGTGATCTGATCCTTGTGATAAGCAAAGCTTGCAATGGGGCTGGGCTTGTCGGCGCCTCCCTTCCACTGACGCAGATCCCAGACTCCCCATACTCCATCGTCAGCACCGGTAGCCAGTAGGTGGGTTGTCAACTTTGACCACGAGATGACGTTGACATCAGTTGAGCTGACTTGAACGGTAATAGCCGGCTTCCTACTCTTACTCCTTACATCCCACACACGAACAGTACCATCACTCGATGCTGAAGCGAACACGGAGGCTTCTTGTGGACTCCACTGGATGTCTTCAACGCTGCTGGTGTGGCCCTGGAAAGCTCTTGTGTCCGTTACCCAGCCTCCACCATCTGTCCTTGTGGTAGCGTATATCAGACCATCGTTATCTCCAGTCAGGAGCTTTCCGCCCGGTACCATGGGCGACCAGTCAAGCGCATACCCCTCGGATTTATGGGCTCTAATGGTAGAGACGGGCTTGTTCTGCTGGGGTGTTATAACAGTCCCGGGGTTATCAAAAGACGCAAGGTGCGGTGTCACATCGTGGATGAAGACTTGGGTAGATTCGGTCATGGTGGCCACCAAGGTGGTCGGAGGTTTGGAGGGGTCTGAGGAGGGGATTTGATGGGCACGGATACGGTTTGTGGTGGAGGTCAGCGGTATCGCCTTGTGCTCGAGAATAGGGTCGGTGTCTTCGCCGTCGTCATCGTCATCGTCATCAGAGTCTGAATCACCGTCCTTCTGTTGGCGACTGAGGCCACTGAACTTCATAACCATCAACTGGTTCTCCTTTGCATGACTGCTGTCGGCCTGGGTGCCCGCAACGGTATACATAGTCGCTGGATAGACCTTCTCGCGCTTGTCGCCTAGGCCATCGCTTACGATATCGAAAGATAAGCATGGCCATGGTGTGCTAAGATTGTGTAGCATTTCGTATGTGCCCAGGTCGGGGGCGAGATGTTGGCCCTGCTCGAGCTTGTTGCGACCGACGATGAATGTTCCATTACTATCAACGTCCATAGCACCCGCAGCGCGTTCCTCTGCCTCTCTCTCAGCATCGGGTCTACCATCAACACCAGCCTCGAATATCTCATCTTCGCTCTCGAATTCGTCCTCGAACTCGTCCTCGAAATCTCCCATTCCCTTGTCGTCCATGTCCACATCCATGGGTTCGGGGCGCTCACCTCCCTTAAGGGGGGCGTCCCTGCCCCCAGCTTCGGCTGTTCGTTTCGACATGATTTTTGACAGTGATGGAAGACTAAAACAACTCGACAGAACAATTGGGATGCGAGTTGAGAAGGAAGGGCAGACAGACCGCAAAAAGATAAGGAGTTAAAGGGAAAAAAAGTTTTGGCCTGCCCCGCGATGGTCAACCCCGCGATATGTGGCTGTGCTCAGAATTTTGTGGCTTCGCTAGTGCCCTTGACCCCTGGACCCCTATTCTTTCTGATCCTGTGCCACATTTGTACTTGTTGACTCAAACGCCTCTATAAAATTGAAGAGTTTCAAAATAAGTGTGAAAAAACGAGAGAGCATGAAAACAATGAACTACTAGATGATACAAAGTCTATCAGCATACACACACGGAGAGAGCCTTATAATCCATCCCGCCTTCTTGTTAAGCAGAAAAACATGACTCAAAATAGCACACGTTACAGAGCAAAAAGCGAACCATCCCAGGAGCGGCGACAGACTAACTAACCACATAAGACCCGGCTCAGAAAAGCACTAAATCAACAAAACGTGGACAAAAAAAGAAGACAGTGCGGTGAGTGTGGATTGAACACACGACCTTCAGATTGATGAATCAAGTGAATGAAGTTTTAACTTCAGTCTGACGCTCTCCCAACTGAGCTATCCCCGCTGATGAAGAAACCGTCAGTGGAAAGGTATCATGTCGAACCGTGTCACGATACCGAAGAATTGTTGCTGTTACTGCTGAGGCGATCACCGGAGATCAAGCCATTTCGTTCACAGTCTCTCCGGACGCCAGAACGATTTCGATATTTCACGATCTGGAAATTCAGTTTCGTTAATATATCATAGACGGAGTCTAGTGATAGGTCAGATTGTGAGAGATTGGACATCTACATAAACGAAACCGTCTCACGAAGAGGACAAGCCGCCTCTCGAATCTAGCTGGGGAAAGACTGCATCCTTTGTGCCAGGCAAATCTCCGGGCAACAGATAACTGGTTATCATCAGGCTGTTTTCTGACATGTGGTTTCGCAAAAGTCTTTAAAGGTTCTCATGAGCTGTATCTGACTGTCGTCGTTCCGAGAGGAGTCTCATCAAGGCAGCCATCGCCATATGGGCGTAATGCGCGAGCCGCAGTTCCTCTGCGCCCCGAAGACTTGGTGGCATTTGAACCAACAGTCCACACGACTTATGTACCAGGATCATTTCGAGCACCTCTCGGAGAATTCGCAGTTGCCTGCCGATATATCTGGGAACTTCGACTATGGCTTGGGCTTCGGTCGTGGGGACTGTTTGTTGGTGGTGAGGTTGATCGCGGTATCACAGGTGTCGGGCTTCAAGGGTGGAGGTAGCTTAGGCCTGGACGTCGGCTAGACTGGAGCTCCATGCAGATCACCCTTCAGTATGACCCAGTTCTTAGGTGCCAGTGCCTTCTATCTTGTTACTCATTCGAGGTGATTACGGAACAGCTCTACGCAGCTTTTCTCCGGTCCCCCACCCGCTACGAACTATTTTAGAGCAAGGTTGGGTTTATTGTACACAAGGGACATGTTAATTGCAACGTGTAGACCACAACTCCATCATCTTTTTGGGTAACCAGTCTAACGTAGTGAACTCGAGCCATAGGGGGTATTCTTAGAGTTGAATATTTCTTTGTTTAGTTTCGTTTCTGTACAAACTATAATGAAATAACTACTCAAATATTTCTGAAAGCTAAAATGACCGAAACTAACAAAGAAAAAATCTACGTAATAAATAAATAAAATTTTCCACTTTAGCTATACTTTTTTACCGTTAAAATGAGGGTATTAGATAACTACGTAGATAGGTCTAGAGGTATATATAATAAACACAGATGTACCATGTTGCGAACTAGATCTTGCATAATATACCGACTGAATAATTAATCAGGACTTCAAAACCTGTGTTCTCTCTAGTTCAAATAGTAGAATAGCACGATTAGTCATGATATGATATATGATAAGATTTGAATATAACAAGGCTTTGTTCTCCGTAGGCTTGCACCGATTTTGGGGTGCAGGTCGGCTGTGCACCATATAGGTAGGTAAGTATTAGTCCACATTGATTTCCGACATAATGCCAAGCCTAGACTGAACGCAAGCGACTGGAAGGGAAATTGCTAAGTTTATTCATACTTCCTGTACAATTCTCCTCTCTGCGTATACCCAACTTTGGTGATACACGATTCGTGCCGACACATAGTCATGGCATTGCTTCCGCAGGACCTTGACTTGCAGAATCACCTCCAGAATCAGCCATCTGGGCTATCAGCTCTTTTGGTTGCGCGTCAAACTCATCAAAGTTCTGCGCTCAGCCCATCAGAGTATGGCATCACACCTAGGGGATCTCTCAGCCCAGTACAAGTTGCTAGTAGTCAGAACCAGGACCTTTTAATTCTTGGACCAGTAGCTTTAGCTGGGAAATATTCAAAACACTACACGCCCAATGTGTCACAAGAGTAAGTCGTTCAGTTGCTTCGTTTGGAGTATAACGGTGAAATTGCTCACTCATCCACGTAGCTGGGATCCCATCAAGGCGGCGTATGATGCTGATATGAACGATTTGGGTGCGCAGCTGAGCCCAAGCGACAAAGAATGGCTCAAGGGCAAACATACGATGGCTGATGTCCAACGGGCTCTGGAAGCAGCTCAAATGACATATCGCAATCGCTCAACCAAGTCTGATGTACGGGTACTGTTGGCAAGCTGTTCTCAGAGAATTGTATTCTACGCGGGTGCGTTCGTCACATCCGAACATCGCAATCATGAGCACTAGATGTACGCGCTTACCTATTACTCGTCCAGGAGTGTTTGATAGCTTATCACAGCATTATCCCGAATATGTGTCCTTGGTCTGGGGCTCTCTCAAATTTTTGTTCACAGTGAGTCTTTCGTCACCTCAATGGCCAATCAAGCATTTAACATACCTGGTCCAGGTAATCGTGAACCATGAGGATCTCCTCACCAGGATCGCTCGCGCAGTGGCTAACGTACTCCATGTTCTGCCTCGTACGCAACTTCTCCTTGAGCTATATCACACGCCCGACATGAGGAACTGTGTGGCTTCACTCTACGCCAAGGTCATTAGATTCGTCAGCAAAGCCCTGAAATGGTATAATAAGAATAAGTATCAACATGCCATCTCAGCAATAGTCCATCCATATAATATTAGTTTTAAAGACATTATTGATGATATCGCCGAATGCTCAAGGCGCGTTGATGAGCTCGCGAATACGGTGAACAAAGCAGAGATCCGCGATATGCACGATAAAGTTACATTTCTCCTAGAGAGCCATGTTAAGCTCAGTAACACTATCCTGCAATTGAATGGTCAGGTTACCGAAGCGCTCACAAGTAAGTACCGTATAACCTCAAGTACCTCTCAAGAATTTAAGCTGACAAGCATATTGCTCAGTGAATCGTTATCTTTATGCAAGGCTCCTCAACGAACAAGGGGAACACCAAAAGCCCTACCTTCAAATGCACGCAGAAGCAACGTGTGAGGCTATTACTGGAGCATGTGGCACTACGATCGGCTGGGAAGAGACACTTGCCTTCTGTCGACTGATCCGATCAAGGCGACGTCTGAGGACACCAAGCCGATTGCCTCAGTCCGAAGTTTCAAAATTGAAGTCATGGATCAGCAGTCCGGAATCGTCCCTCATGATTGCGCAGGCTCGTGGCTTAGTAGGCAGTTCGATGGACCTTGCGATAGACCTCATCGAGGCATTGCTTGACCGAAAAGCCCCCATTATCTGGGCACTACCCCGCAGCTTTGAAGCCGATGACATGCAGCCGCCCTTGTCGAGTGTGCTGCAATCCTTAGCACTGCAGATCCTAAGGCTTGAGGGCAACGCAGCTGGTTCAAGGGGCCTCAGTGCTACGTCGGTAGAGCAACTAAATACGAGTATTTCGTTGCCGCAATGGTCTACGATTTTGGAAGATCTGACCTCCAACCTCAAGCAGCTTTTCATCATCATTGATGCCAACCTAATCGGAGTAGCGAAAGATACCCGAGAAAAGTGCGCTAATCGTCAAGCGGGCTTTGACGTCGTAAAGGCCTTCCAGCGACTCATTGGTTCTCGATCTCAGGGTGGGCTCAAGATCATGATCGCGTCGTGGCCCTCGAGTGTAAACTGGTCTGCCTCATTCGGAGAAGTAATGGGCGACATTCTAGAGTTATTCACTGATCGTGGCATCCGGCAAGAACGTAGAATGGCGACACCCAAGTTTCGAGCACTGGCCATACGACAAGGCAGAATTGTGGCACGGGAGCTCAGAGCAGAGGCACTCAAAGATGATAGGACTTGATTGCGAAGCAGAGTACGGCAAGGTTGACTGATGGGAGTGTGTACCCTAAATGCCCAATGGACATCTCCCTGCACAGCCAGGATATTGCATGTGAGCCCGCTGCAATGGGAGTTGATGGGATGATTGAATCCGCTCTTTATTGTTAGAAGGCAGAAGCAGCTCGCTCTTGTTGCAGCCAATCATTAACCCACACTCCGTCCTATACTCTGATACCCCTGTTCACTGTGTAGCGTTTTGTGTGCGGGCCCAGCCACCCAGCACGCATTTTCATAGTGAGTCGCAGCCAAAATGACTACATTGACCAGTAGTGTTATGAAGCGACATTTCGACTCAAGGCAAAGTCCCGTACAGGTATGTAACATAAGAACTAGCCTGTGCCCTATGTAGATACATAGTTAGAGTCAGTCTCCAAATCTCGTATGCTAAGTGCTCACAATACACTTAACTCACTGCCACCATCACAGCGCTTTCGAATAGCGAAATTTCATAGAGCTGCTTTGATGTCTCATTCTCAACAATCGGGCATCGCAGAGCTGGCGGATGTGGGCCAAAAAGGCGAGAGTATATTTGTTTCCTCGACGATATCGCGGGATGACACTAGGGGAGATGCATCGAAAGAGCATGAGATGTTGGCATCATTTGCTCAGGCAGGTCTGTTTCAGGCTATCCGCGAAGTCTATATGTTACTGACCTTGTAATTATAGGCTTCCAGCGGGTGAATAATGATCAGGCACCTCGTCCGCCTCGGATCTCATTACTTAGTGCAGGCCCAAATGGACCACCCAATCCGTATGCAGCTCCCCCGCCAGGTCAAGCGTCAACCAGTTGGATCCCACCTGATGATTATGATGATGATGATGATGATGATGGTGGTGGTTTTGAGTCAGAGATGTTTAGCAATATTCGAAAGGCTATGCGCTCGAGCCAGAAGCTTGATGATTCTTGGCCCGCGCGACTCATGAGAAAATATGAAAAGGACCTGAAGATTACAGAGGCAGAGGGATTAAACAGCCCGACCAGCGATGTAGCAGGCCATCCAACTTCAGGCCAAAATGAGGTCACGGCCGACCTCACAGTATGTCTCGGATCTTTTGCGTCAAAGGCACTTGATATCAACGTTCTTGACAAGGATAAGGCTTCGACTCGGTACCTTGCATTTCTTCTTGACACCATTGAACAACTGTCTTCCCAAGTAGCATTTCTTGAAAGCGAGGCGAGCCATGTGAAACATCGGGAGAAGATCAAGGAGACAGTACACGAGCAGTCTGACAAGACTCTGTCTAGAGAGTCAACCACCAAGAAAGCACCCCGCGGACACACCGTGCACCGAGTGTTC